GCTAAAGTGACAGAAATCGGCTTGGAGATGGGGAAGCAGGTAAGGGAAGAAGGCAAGAAATTCTAAAGACCCAGGGAAATGCAGGGTGCTGGCCGGTGCACTGCCTTGGTGACTGCGGCGGTGGTTAGACAGCGTCACGTCATTTAAAACACTTAGGCTACAGGGCCAGCTGCGCGGGCGCACACCTGCACATCCCAGCACTCGGGAGGGCTGAGGCAGGAGGGTCACCCTGAGTCCAAAGTCAGCCTAAACTACGGAGAGAGTTGTTTAGAATGTCAATTATATTATCAATCGTTTTGAAAAGCACCTTTTCACTTTTAAAAGCTATTTATATTGGACTTTGTTAGTTTACAAGGAGACTACTTCAGAACCATCGTTTTCATAGAGAAGACTAGTCCTGTTCGGCAGTGTGGGGGACGGGGCACAGGGTTCTGTGCATTTCAGGCAAGCAGTCCACCACTAGGCTACACGCTCAGACCTCGCCCGACTTTTTTTTTTGGTACTGGGGATCGAACTCAGGACCTTGCATTTGCGAGGCAGGCAGTGGAACCTCTGAGCCAAGTCCCTGGAGGTGGTGACATACAACGAGCACATCTGTAAGACAGGATCCCAAGTATCTAACCTTGTCCCACACTAGCCAGGGGACCCCACGGGATCGAGGGGAGGTGCGCGGGGATGGTGTTTACAGATGAGATGGGCCAACGGTGCCCTCCAGCAGGCACTGCAGGGGCCTAGGAGACAGCGGCTTTCAGGCTGGCTTCCCACGGCGCAGCACTTTTTGGTGACGTAACCTCCAGCAGCCCCTAAGACTTCTTGCCCCACGGCCACTCAGGCTCCTGGAGACCGACAGTCTGCACTGCTCCGTCCCAGCCCGATCCCTCTGAAGCAAGCTCACCATTGCAATACGGCACCAGCAGGGCAGTCTCGGGAGCTGGTGTTGGTCCTGCAGGCAGAACCGATCCCCGTCTCATCTCAGTGCGGACACAGAGAACTTCAGCTCCAAGCAGGGAGCTGGAAACCTGTGCCCTCAGGAAGGAGGGTGGTCGGTCTCACCTGAAGAAGCAATGGATGTGATAATTGGGATGGTGGTCTGGCGTCCTCAGCACGCTAGACTGGGCCGCTGAACCAGGGGCCGAGAGAACCGAGAGCGATGTGTGAAGAGATTTCACGCACCTGAAAGCTTCACCCCCTTACCGCAGGCGTAAAAGGTACTGTAGCTTCACCAGACCCACATTTGGACCAAGTTATATCACAGGTGTATTTAAGACAAACCAAGAGCTGACAGACTTCACTGCGTACCACGTTCAAATACTGGAGAAGCAGAGCCCGCTGTGGAATGACAAAGCTAAGAACCAAAATGTGCATGAGAAACAACAGCAAGGTGAACACTTCAGGTGTTTGGTACAGCACTGACGTGCTTCAGAAAAGGATGCACACTGCTCATGTACAAAACCTCTGAGTCCTTTATTGACATCTGGAGATGCGTGGTTCACACAATTAACAGCATCACACCAGCTACAGAAGTAGAGAACCAGGAACGTACTTCAGAACAGGATCTCAGAGCAGTATTTGGTGTCGCCTGCTCTGAAACTCAGTAAAAATCCAATTCTGACACACGCAGAACAGACATCGTAACAACTTCACTTGGAAATGACTCTTTAAGAAAGCAACAAGAACCGACAGTTCAAACTCTTTAGTGTGCGACGTGGCAGCCTCTCTGGGTGCTGCGGCACCACTGCAAAAGGCCAGTGGGGCATCTGAAGGTCGGACAGAAGGGCTGGGGCAGGAGAAGAGGCTTTATTTTCAGTGTAGAGATAACAGAAAGTCTGAGTGGATGCTCTCAGTCCAGGCTGTGTGGGTCCTGCCGGAACCCACCAGACATAGTCTATAAACTGGAGGCTGAAAAACGCCAGGCAGCCGTCGGTGTCACCGACGATCGGGAGTCACCGCGACACAGGGAGACGGAACGGGGATGCGCCTAAAGAAAAACCGGGCTTGCTGTGTCAGGTCGGCTCTGATCCGCTTGTGCCCCGGGATACCATGCGTCCCTCTGCTTGCCCGCGTGAAGGAACACTACCTTTATTTCAATGTCCCTTGGAAAACAACCAAAACCCCCCCCCACCCCGTCATTCTTCATGAATTGTTTCCAAACTCTTGATTCTTCTCAGACTAGACTTTTTCCTTTCGCTTTAATTTTGACACTTTCTTGACAGTCCCGTTCTTGTTTAGAAGCTTCAGGACACGATCTTTATGATCTAAAACCTTAAGCATGGAGTCTCTAGCCTCACTGATTTGATCCATCACAAGCTTGCACCTCTGCATGTTTCCCTGGAACAGAACACATCACATCATCAGCAAGCGGTGGTGAGGAGGGTGTGGCTCTGACATAAAGGCTCCCTTGGGGAGGCCGTGTTAGGGTCTCCACAGAGTGCCTTTCGGTCATACAATGCCCCCACCCCACCAGGGCTGGGGATGGAGCCCAGGGCCTCAATGCATGGCAGGCAAGCACTGGATCACTAAGCTGCATCCTTAGCCCTTTAAAAACTTTATTTTGAGACAGGGTCTCGCTAAGTTGCCAGGCTGGTCTCAAACTATGACCTGACTGGCTCAGCCTCCTGAACAGCTGTGATTACTGGAGTGGACCACGACACCAGCCATAACAGTAAGCTGTTTTTATGAAAGACACTAGGGGTGAGGGAGGGCAATGGGAGAAACAGGACTCCAGCAAATAACCCCCTAAGTATGTGATCAGATGGGAAAGGGTACATCCAACCTGTATCAGTTCATTTATTCGGTGCAGATCATCATCAGTTGCTGCTTTTTTCTTTGGGATAATTCCTTCCTGTAGGTTGGTAAGTCTTTCATAAACATCATGTTCCAGATTTGTCTGCCACACATAAGAGGGAGCATACTGTGACTCAGAGGTATTACTGTTCTGTGTCAGCCTGAGGCAAAGGAATCCACTCTGCATCAATGTTGCCAACTATTGTAAAACAGTTTGAGTGAAAATCCCCAACCTAAAGTCCTTTCTCTAAAGGACTGATGTATTAAGGTTAACAGTCATGAAAACCGATCAACAGTAATTTGCATTTTATTTTGACATTGTTCAGAGTTCATCTTTAAGGATACCATTTTTTTTTTTTTGCAGTACCAGGGATTGAACTCAGGACCTTGCACTTTTGAGACAGGTGCAGTGCCATCGAGCTAAATCCCTGGGATCTTTTTTGTTTGTTTTTTGAGACAGGGTCTCACTATGTAGTTGAGACTCACCTGGAACTCACTACATTGTCCAGGCTGGTCTCAAAATCACAGCAATCCTCCTGCCTCAGCTTCCTGAGTGCTGGGATTACAAGAGTGCACCATCACGTCCAGTGAAACACTTCTTTTCAATTTTTTTGTGTTTAGGAGTGGAATTGTTGAATCACATGGTAATCACGTTTCACTTATCAAGGAGACACTAAATGGTTTTAATTCTTTGATTTTTAAAATAAAATTTATTTTATCCTATTCCCTCCCTCAAGCTCTCTGAGTACAAAAATTGTTTCCATTGTTTCCTTCTATTTTCACTTTTTTCTTGTCCTTTCCTTCCTTTCTCCCTCTCTCCTCTACTGTTCCCTTCAAGATTAACGTTTTTGTTTAGTATTCTTTTTTTTCCCCACTGAGTTTATTGGTACTTTTTAGGTATACAGTACAGTTACATTCATCATTGAGATCTTGGTTCTTATTTTTTCCCCATACCCTGCTCTCCCTTCACCCTGTTCACCCTCCCCTTTACAAAGGCTTTGTTTCCAGTTTTTCCTTTTCTCATTATTTATTTTTCCCTTCTTTCCTTTCCCCTACCCTTCACATTTCTCCTACTCCTTTAGTCCTTTTCTTCCTATTTCACGTTACCGATTATACAATTTGAATCTTATGTACACTTTTGGTCTTTCACGCCAGAGAAATTATTAGGTATCTTTTAAATACTGCCCCAAATTCACAATTCCTCTGAAAAACAACTCTACCAGTTTTGAGTAATACGATTTTTATAAGTAAAAAGCCAAAGAATTTAATTTAGATACTGATAGCAGACCATGTTTTTGAGATCGCTGCTTCTTTAAACATGGGGAAACTTCCCCGTATCCTCTCTTCACCCAGTGGGTAAAGGAGACCCCCACCCTAGGCCCACGGAAGTGGCTGAACATACAGGATCCACCACTGGACAGAGGAGACTGACAGCACCTCAATGGTCACACACACTACAGCGTAGGGCAGGACACAGCACGCCATGCAGGGGCCTATGAGTCGCACCTAGGACCACCGCGAAGAGGAGCAGAGCTGTGGGAAGCAGGCTGTGTAGTACCGAGAGGGAAGGCTGCCCCTGCTCCCTAAGGGGCTGGGAATGGCCTGACCAATATCAGAAGCTGGCAGAGAAATGAAGCCCGATGGTCCCCACGGCCAGGCCGGGACGGAGGGAAAGGCTTATTCAGTGATGGGGTGAGGAGGGATTAGGGGCAGGCCAGGCCATCAATGAATGGCTCCTTTCACATGTTACTTAATGTCAAATCTTAATTTTAGGGTTTCTACCGCAGCAGTCCCATACATTTTAGATCTAGGATTTGAGTTACAAGCACAAATAACTGATATAGTAGTTTGAGACTACATAGCAACGCACAGAAAACGTACTATGACCCACGCTAGTAGGGAATGCTTCGGATTTACTCAAGAGACGATGTTCTGAGAAGCTGAGCATCTCCAGCATCCTCCAGAACTGCACCTACCAGCTGTAGTAGCTGGGCAGCACAGAGGTGGACTTTCCAGCCCTGGGCACGACAGGATACTCCTTTCTGATTAGCTATTTCTTGCAGCATAGCTTTCTTCTCCTCTGGAATCATGGAAAAATAAGTACGTTTCAATTTTTATATAGCTCAATCATCTGCGTTCAAGTAGCCTTAGTACCATAATTTTTTATCAAGATTTCTTTACATAAATGTTTTTAATTTCTCTGCATTTAAGCCATTAGGAAAAGAATTCAACAACATGAATAAAAGCTTCCTATCTTTCGGTCACTCCAGAAGAAAGCTTTGAAGATATACTACTCTGGTGAGTTAAAAAGACCGTTAATATTCTAATCTCTTACAAGAGGGGCGAAGGTCTGATATGCTCAGTATGTGACACATAAGGATGTGGAGGGCTGGACATGGATTTCTGGAGGCTTTTTGATGTTATCTAGATCTGAAATCCCATGAATAAAGTGGGAATTGATATAACTCAAATCTGGAAGAAAAGTCCACTGACCATTAGTGTAATAAAGCAAATATAAGTATAGCTCAGTGGTGGAGCAACTGCCTGGCAAGTGCTAGGCCCCAAGTTCAACTTCTGGCATTAAAAAAAAGAAAAAAGAAGACCAGGGATTTGGCTCAGTGGTTCCGCTGCCTGCCTCACAAGCAAAAGGACACGAGTTCGATCCCTGGTACCAAAAAAAAAAAAGATTAAAAAATGGTACAGCAAGAAGAGGGATGAGACCTGACCCAGGCTTATACACACAATGGCACAGGCCATACTGGAACAGTTCAGAGATTATAAAAAAGAATGGAAAGTAGTTTTAGTAACAACTTTCAGGTTAAATTGTACTAGGAACAGAAATTAAGTTAGGGCCGGGGATTTAGGTCAGTGTTTCCACTGCCTGCCTCGCAAGCGCAGGGTCCCGAGTTTGATCTCCCATACAAAAATAACAACAACAACAAAACCAAAAAAAAAAAAAAAAACCAAAACAACAACAACAAAAAATTCATGAGTTTGGGCCTGGGATTTAGCTCAGTGGTGCTGAGTGGTGCCTGCCTTGCAAACACAAGGTCATAAATTCAATTCTTGGTACAAGAAAAAAAATCACGATGTTGAGTTCAAACCCCAGCACAAGAATGAAACAAAAAGTTGCCCTTGCCTGTGATGCTTTTCTCAGGATCAAGACTGGGCTCATGGTTTACCAGCAGTGAACTGAACCTAGGACCTTGTGCCCAACAGCAGGTTGACAGTATCTGAAAAATGAGACCTATCTCTATTGAATGTGTGCAGAACTTTTTCCTAAACAATGCAGAAGAGTGACTATTGTATACCATTTGTATTCAGTACAGCAAGTGAACTAGTAAAACAGAAGACAAAGCAGGCAGGAGGATGCACACAGGAGGATGCACACATCATGCCATCCACACACAGGATACAAGCACCCATGGGTCTTGGATCTATGGGGAGTCCTGGACCCCACTCTGCTGTGTACTGTGGGGAAGAAGAGCTGGGAAGTGCAACCACCTCTGCACTGCACCTCAGAGCCAAGCTGTCAGCACCTTCACGCAGGTCACTTACATCTAGCAGTACCCCAACCAGACGCCCAGCAAAGCTGTAACAATGGGGAGCGTGACCAGTTCTCTGGGAACTCGTAGTTCCCTGTATGTCTGCTGACGTGAGGTGAAAGACACCAAAGTCCTTCTGGACAAATATTTACCAAGTTTCTGCAAGATGTTAGCAGCCGTTTTCGTTACATGTAGGTTTATAAAATGTTCTCCGGTTCAACAACGAAAATATACTCATCTATTTTTGGTACCAGAAATGAACTCAGGACCTTGTGCTTGCAAGGCAGGCACGGTGCCCCGAGCTAAATCCCCAGCCTGACAATACTCACTGAAGACCTGCCATAGACCATTCCAAGAGCTTCACACGTTATAAATCAAAGGCCTTTCAGAAAAAGTGCTTATGATGCATGCACATCTGAGGACCCTAGGAACGGCAGCGGACTGCCAGACGGCAGTGCAGCACAGCTCTCCACAGCCACTCTGGGGGCCAAGGTCATTGTGCAAGCACACGAGGATTTTTACTCAAACCAAGGTTGCACCCTTCAATCATTCAGTAGACTCAGACTGCAACAAATACATTCAGGCAAAAGGTACTTTTCCAAATTTTCCATTCCACAGAGTATTTCATGTGAACACGTTGCCTCAAGATTTCAAAACAAAAACTGTGACCCTTCCTCCCCGCTTTCCTTCTTGCAGGGGTGGGGACTGAACTCAGGGTCTGTCACAGGCTACACCTATGGGTTCCTGTTTTCTTTTCTGTTGTGACTGTAACATAGCCAAGGGTTACAACGATTTCATGTGTTAATACTGGACACTAACCTTTGACTCGGACGTCACTGTACCTCTGGAAATGGTGGTACGCAGCTTTCCAGGGGTTCCGGTAATGACGAAGCAAAGTAATGGGGGGTCTTGGACGAACTGGGACGTATCTCACCCCTTCTTCATCTATTCAGAGGGAAAGGCGGCATTAAATAGCTTATCACCTATGACCAATGACCTGTGAGGTTCCAGTCCAACCAGAGCTGAAGAGAAACGGACGAAGGGAACAGCTCGGGCACAGCCCGCAGGCTGCGGTGGGAGGTGTCGCGGGGCGGCAGTGACCGTAAGGAGCCTCACCGATGTACTCCTTGGGAGGGGACTTGCGCTTCTCAGCCTTCACCAGCAGACCCTTGGCGGTGGACTTTTCATCATCAGTGCTGTTCGCCTCCATCATATCCCCTTCTTCTGTTGAGATCACATGCTGCTGTTTCCGAGGCTTTTTCCTTGGAGAGGCACCAGGCGGCAGGTCACTTGTAGGCATGGACAGGTTGTTTGCCAGCAGTGTGAGAGATGGAGACACGGTGTTGGTGGCCAGCGGAGGAACTGCTATCAGAGGACAGGAAGCACAGATATCTCTGAGAACCCAGGCATAACGGAAAGCTTCACTTGATTCCCAGCAACAATGAGAAGACAGCAGAGAGCCGGATGTGGTGGTGCACACCTGTAATCCCAGCGCTCAGGAGGCTGAGGTGGGAGGCTGAGGCAGGAGGATCGCTGTGAGTTGAGACCAGCCTGGGCTACATAATGAGTTCCAGGTCAGTCTCAACTACACAGTGAGACCCTGGCTCAAACAACAATAACAACAAAAACAAAAACGAACAAACAAAGAATGTATTACTTAGTCTTTGTTATGGGTGTGCTGAGATAAGATGGAAGCAGGAGTATTTTGCACCACTTTTAGGGAATTTCCTTAGATGTCAGCCAGGTGAGGTGGTACACACCTGTAATTCCAGAACTGAGGGGGCTGAGTCAGGAGGACTGCAAGTTCACGAGACCCTCCAAAGACAAAAAGAGCTGTAGATACAGCTCAGTGGTAGAGCTTCCCTGGGTTTGATCCCTGGTACCCCACTTCCCCATCCAAAAAAAGGAAAAGAAAACGAAGATGTCATCTTCTATTCCTTGCCTTTTCTGTGCCCAAAGGTTTAACTATGATAGCCAGAGATAGAGCAGCTGCTTTGAATCAAGAGAATGAAGATCAAATTCTCCATTTGTGGAGGGAAAAATGGGAAGGAGATGGATCCCTAAGGATCTGATGGAATCCACATACTTTTTCTTCTTGGACATATGGCTTGCTTCAAGGGAGAAAAAAATCTCACATGTGCAAGTGAGTATTCTTCTGGACTTTAAACAAATGGTAACTAATAATCTCTCCCTCTCCCTCACCCCTCTCGGTACTGGGGACAGAACTTGGGACCTTGCGCTTGTGAGGCAGGCAGCAGAACCACTGAGCTAAATCCCCGGCCCCAATTAACTGATAATCTTAAAAAGGCAATCAGGGGTCGGGGATTTAGCTCAGTGGAGCCTCGCCTGTCTCACACGCACAAGGTCCTAAGTTTGATATGTGGTACCAACACACACACACACACACA